TTAATGAAATGTGACATTGTTAAAGTAGTTTTCTATAAGGTTTTTGAATTTTTATGTTGCAGTTTGGTCTTAAATAGAAATAAAGATAGTGTCATTTTGAGGCTAAAAATTCATAAACGAAATAAGCGCCCAGCTTCAAATAGGCGCCCCCCTTCGAATTAGCGCCCCCCTCTCGCTTTGGAAAATTAAATAAGCGCCCCGGGCGCTAGCTCGAGCATTTACGGTACCTATAAATGCACAACTTTTGGGTGATATACCATAGGCAGCAAGTTTGGCTAAAATTAAATCATGTGGCAAGCTGTCGAAGGCCTTGGACAGATCAATACTAATAATAGAAGCGGAATGTTGTTCGTCCAGACCATTTCGAAACTCTTTCAATAAATTTATCAAAGTAGTCTCACAGCTGTAATGGTGACGATAGGCTGATAAAAATTGGGACAGCTTGTCACTAAAGAATTCATTCAACTGACCAGCAATGATTCGTTCCAATATACTACCAAAAGTGGCCAAAGTAGTAATAGGTCTATAATTACTTTTAGAATATTCAATACCTTTTTAAATACAGGTGTGACTTGGCCCAATTTCCAACAGGTAGGAAAAGTACATGTAGCAATAGAATAATTAAATAAATTAGATAGAACATGCGAAATTGCGGGAATACTATCTTTAACTAGGCGAATAGGGATATTATCATAACCTGATGATTTCGAAGAAGAAAGAGAGAGAAGTATATCAGTAACAGTAAAAGCGCAAGTGGGATGCAAACTAAATTTATTATTCTGATTATTCTGATCATTAATTGTAGACATAAAGCTTTTAATGGTTAGGATACTAGGATGGTTTGAAAAATCAGAACCATAGATATCCTTATTCGGTAAAGGAAAATTATCACAAATATTAATGAAGTATTCATTAAATAATTTAACTATGGTAGACTTGTCATTATTTTCTTGCAAAACAATGTCATTTGCTTGACCCTTCTTAGAATGAAAAAGAGAACCAAAGAATTTCCAGAAATCCTTTGGCTTAGAAGAACACTGGTCTGCTTTCTGATGAAAGTAATTAGCTTTTGACTTCCGTCTAAGTGAAGTACACAAATTTCTCTGCTTCTTGTACAAATTCCAGTTAGTAATACAAGGATCACGTCTGTATTTCCTCCATATATTGTTTCTGTGCCGAATTGCTTTCCTGCACTGTGGAGTCAGGTATTGCACATGCCCACCTCTAAGATGGAATTGTTTAATGGGTGCATGAGTATTTATGACATCAGTAAATAGCTTGTCAAAGGATAAAGGCTGATAGTTTCGAAAGAAACTGTTTGGGGCTGCGTCGGTGGGAGTAACGAAATAATTTGGATATATCAACAAAGTTGAAACGGTAAATTGGCCACCGTAACGATTACAAAAGCTGACGTTTCGAGCGTTAGCCCTTCGTCGGAGCGAATAGAGGAATTGTGGGTTGTGTGTGCTTTTAAAGGCAGAAAATGGAGCTACGTTATTGGTGGGAACATGGCAACGGGATTTAGACTGCCGGTTTGAAAGATGA